CACCACACATCCCCAAACTTCTCGATGTGCCCGGACCACATCAAACTTTCTCCTAACGACTCTCCCTATGGAACCTTCCCTTCCTTCCTCCCTCCCTCCCTCCCAGCTGTGTCATCGCAGGTGTCCATCTGTCGTCCCACCCATCCCATAGCAGCAGCACGGGCAGTTTCCTGGCACTGAATTCCAGTCCTGCCCTGGAAACTGCAAATTGGTTGCCATGCTTGTGACGTTGACCTGTTGTATCACTGCTTTGTGTATGTGGATACAAAGTGTTTTTTTGTAAAGGTCTCCTACTGTTCCTGTCCCAGCCCAGCTCAGAGCTATACCTGTGCGCGCCCCCACCTAAGGGGCAGCAGCCCCACGCCAGCCTTCACCCATCAACGAGCAGCCCTAGGGGATGGCTGGCAGCACTCCCCCTCCCCCAGCTGACAGTTCCACGCAGACACGGAGCACACGCTTACTTTTGGCCAAGTCTCCATCCATCATCGCTGCAGGGAGCGATGCGGGGCTGCGGGAGGGGTGAACCCACCACCCCGTGCCCCTACACCAGGTGCCGGCCCCGGCCTCAGGGCGCGGGGAAGCCAATCTCACGCAATCGCTTAACGCAAGCTGGGAACGTGTGAGGAGGGCTCGGGACAACGCGCCCCAACGCAGGGATGCAGGCGTCCGGCCGCACGCTTGCACGTGGCAAAGGTGAGCACGCGGGCGTGCACAAGCGTGACACGGGCAGCAACTTCGCTGCTCGCACAGCCTGCGCTGCCCGAAGGGGAAACGTTCACCTCTCCCTTCCGCACCTTCCCCACTCGCGGACACCCCCCGGCCCCTCGCACCTTGTTTGACCGCTTTCACCACGATGGGCTCCTTGCAGCTCCGGATCACCTCCAGCACGTCGTAGCGCGGCAGCCCGGACACGCGCACCCCCTGCACCTCCAGCAGCAGCTCCCCCTCGCTCAGCGCCTGCTCGCCGCCTCCCGCCGCCACCGCTCCCGCGTAGGGGAACTCGCCGTGCTCCGCGCCGCCCAGCAGGACGAAGCCCAGCTGCCCGCCGGGCCCGCGGCTCAGCGCGCACTGCCGCACCCGGCTGGCCCAGTGGTTCTTCTTCTGGACGACCCGCGACATGGTGCTGCGCGGCTCTCCGCGCCCGCGGCGGCGCGTTAAGCAGGTGCGCAGGGGCTCCGACCCGCCGCTTCATAGACCGCTCCGCGCCGCCCGCTCACAGCCATCACCGCCGGCGCCGCGCCCGCATGGCTCCGCGCCCGCGGAAGGGACTTCAAAAAATAAAAAAAATAAAAATAAAAACTGAAAGAAAGAAAGAAAAAAAAAGTAAAAATTTAAAAAGTGCTCAGTAAGCAAATCCGGCTCCTTCTCGCCCTCCTTGTCTCCACCGCCGCGGGGCCGCTTTGTTTTCTCTCCTTCCTCCTCCGCTCTCTCTCTCTCTCCGCGGGCGCGGACGCGGCGCCTTTAAGGCGCTACAAAGCCCCGCTTGTTTTGTTTCACTTCGCTCCGTCCCGCTCCGCCGCGCTCCGCACCTCCGGCGCAGGCGCCTTTGCACGGCCCGCCCCGGCCCCCGCCCGCCTCCCCGCCCCCGTGCCGGCCCCGCACCCCGGGTCGCGCCGCTCGGGGCGGGCGGAGGCGGAGCGCCCCGCGGGAAAGCCGTGCGCGCGGCGGTGCGGAGGGGCGATGGGTGCCGCGCTTGGCTGCGGTCCGTGCGAGGCGCGCAGGTGCGGGCGGGCGCCCACCTGTGCTTTCGGGTGGCGCGGTGGGAAGGTTCGCACGAGCTGGGAGCGCAGCAAGGAAGCGCTCTGCGGCGCTGGGAGAAGGCTGTGCGCGAGTCCTCGGTTCTCTGCTCGTCTGCTTCGGAGTGCTGGAATTTCTAACGTCAATAATGTTCTCGCGTTTTGTTTTTCCCATGCAGTTGTTTAGACGCGGGACAGACTGCACTGATGTGTTTCTGGTGGGGAGGAATGGTATGCGTCCATCCACGCGCTCTTCAAAGTTACCCTGAACTCGTGCAAAAACTCCAGTGGGACTGTCGTTGTGCCTACACCAGCTGTCCCTCCCCGCTCACACTCCATACCTCTAAACCTGAAAGCCAGGCCTCATTTTGAGCAGTCTGATGCTCGACCATTCCTCATTCAGCAAGGAGTTTGGTTTCAGATGTGTGCATGCTGTGTTTCAGTGCTAATCAGAACTCAGAAGTGACCCTGAGGAGCAAAGCCCCTTCTTGTTCCCTGCACTGCCCTCGGGTGTGCTCTCGTCTCTCAGGCCATGCATGTACCCAAAAGATCTGCAATGCCAACAGACCTGGGGGACATATGCAACAGCTGTGGCTGCAGCTCAGCTGGGCTTGGTTCCTGGACCCCAAAAGTGGGATGACAGCAATGCCTTTCCCAGCCTTTCCATCTGTCCCAGATGAAAGAGGAAGTCCTGTCCTCTCACATACAGCATCCCCATCACTGCTTCCCTGCAGCCAAGATCCCTCCCACAGCTTTTTCCTCAAATTCCCATCACTGCAAGCAATGCTCTGCAGCCACAGAAGCTGTGCTCTCCAGCCTGAGCGGCACAGCCAGGGAACGGGGACGCTTTGTCCCATTGAAAGATCACAGCAGTCAGCCCTGTGCTCTGCATGCTTCCATGGGAAGCTTATGGGACTGCCAGGGCTCGAAATGCTGAAATGAATAACGGAGCCCCTTCCAAGGAGCACAGCAGAACCTGCCTCCCTGGGAGCAAAGGGAAATGCAGAAATGGACTCGTGAAATACAAATTGGAACGGAACAAAATGGAACAGAGTAGAATAGTTCCATTGGAAGGGACTTTCCAAAGACCACTGAATCCAACAGCCTGACCTCCTTAGCACTAACCAAAAGTTAAAGCATATTAATGAGGGCGTTGCAAAATGCCTCTTGAACACCAACACGCATGGTGCTCACATCCACTGTTTGGTCTCCATAAATGTTCAGCATGACTTAATAAATGTCAGAGAGTGCATTTTTTTCCACATGGAGGAATTCAATTCCACCCCTTTTCTCCATACGCCCCTCCATGTCAGACACCATTTTGTCAGCCTGCCCCTCTGCAGTCTCAGACAAGAAATAAATTGTTTTCCAACTGTTAGGGTAAGCAGTTATGAAACAAAGCTGCCAAAGGTAATGTTGGATTCTTCAGTGCCAGACATGCTTTCATTAAGGCCCACTACATTTTGAAAGAAATTTTCACTATCATAGGCAGATTAATATGTTATGTGCTACGCCTAGCTCTTACATCCCCTCCATTCCTCTAAAATGTTTCTTTCCACTTGGAGCTTTATTTCTTACCAATGAAAGCTGTGCTGATTCTCTAGGTTGCTGCAGCTGTAGCTGCCTTATGTCTGCATTGGCTGGCTTTGTGACCAGCTACCCAGTTTGTCACTTTTAGGATCAGGGCACACTTTTTATTGTGCCTTGACCAGTAAAAACTGGATCAGTGATCAAGCTAAGTCCCCCAGGGAATGAATGCAGCAGCGTGGCTGAAGGGAAGGGTTTGTATTTCATCTTCCTGCTGGCTGATGGCTGTGTCACCCGTGTGAGATCACAGCCCAAGGAGAGTCCTGTCTGCAGCTGGGACCTGGGTGTGATGTATTTTCGTCACCACTGTTGTGGGTGATGTGTGATGTGACAGCCCCACCAAGCTAAAATTCATCTGGGACTCATGTTGAGTGTCACATGAGTTGTGGCTGCCCTGAGCAGAGCTTACAGAACTGCTCGTGCCTCATGGAAAAAAAAATACATTGAAGAACATTATTTGGAAAAGCAATTTTGCTGGTAAGATTTATGGCGCGACAGATTTAATAGGGTCATTTTCTGTTTGCTCACAAACACTGCAAAACTAATGCAAGTGTGACCTGTTCCTGTCGTAATGCTGTACTCGTGTCTGGGCTGCTGTGTTCTCAAAATTGTTCTTTCGGGTAATTAACAAAACCCACAAACCTCACCCAGTGCTTTCTCTTGATTTTAGGACCCTCCCTTCAGTTTTCCTCCACACACACACTGTGTTTGACTGGCTGCCTACCACAGAGCAGGGAGAAGCATGGACAGTTCTCACCCAAGCAAGGCTCTCTTCAGCCATCCTGCCTCAACTGCTGCTCAGGCCTCACCCCACATGGGATGCCACACACTTCAGCTCCCTGCCCATCATGCTGCTGTGAAAAGCTACTTTGGACTGGCTGAGAGCTCTAAGCAGAGCATAGTTCCCTTGCTCTTCCATCTACAGTAACTATGGTTTGGTGGCCCATCTGTCAGCAGCCTCTAATCTGTCAGGATAAGTGAAATGAGCCTTTCTTCCTCCTCCAGAAGGGGTTTTGTGGGCTTCGAGTCCCACCTCAAATGCACAATAGAAACTAAAATGGTTTTTCCAAGAAAAACGCCAGTCTGCACTCTTGGTCTCATAAGCATCTCTGAAATTTTGTGCTTAGAAAGACAGTGATTAAAGCTACAAATGAAAGCATAGATAACTTAATACAACAGAATGAATTTTTAATTTCCAGCTAGAAAACAGACCCTCAATACTTTGATATCAAGGGCTTTGAGGCTTCAAAAGCCTGAGCCTTTGGATCCTGGGACGAAAGAAACCTTAAACAAGGTCTGGCTGTTTTCCTGTTGGTACACTCATGCTGCCAGCATCTATCAATAGGAAAATCATGGTTTACTGCACTTCCCAAACAGGAATTGTTGTCCACAGTAGTCCCAACATCTACCAGAGAGGAACTGTCTGCACTGTGTTTCTGTACAAGCTGGTACTGCTCCATGGCAGCTGCTGCACTTGGAGGAAAGCTCCAGATCCAAACACATGCAGATCTTGTCAGTGCCACAGAGCAGCCAACATGGACACACTTCTGGTTTTTCACTGGTTTGGGCACCATCCCACAGCATGCTCCACAGAAGACCATATGACTTTGGGACCACAAGAGCCCAAGAAAAGACAACTCACCCCTCCCTGGGATACACTATCACCCTCCTCCACAATTTATTTCAATAATAGCACACACAGTGGAATACAAAGCTGACGATCAATCTCATAAGCATATTAAGACACTCCAGGGTGTATTTTATAGGGCCATTAATATACTTCTTAGGTGGTTAAAGTCACCCATAGCATCAATTAATGGCACCATAAAGCATGCTCTGTCATATCTTACAGCTTAAATAACACCCAGCAGGCTGGGCACGGGGGACGTGGGCACGCTTGCTGGGTGCAGTGCAAGAGCACAGTGTCTGTCTGACCAGCTGGATGTGAGCACAGGTATCCTGAAGATAGCACAAAATCAGCACTCATTTTAAAAAGCAAGGTTCAAAAAAAAAAAAAAAAAAAAAAAAAAAAAAAAAAAAAACCTCCCCAGTTAAGAAGCACAGATCTGATTAACTCTCACTGGCATCGTGCTCCTGAGCTTAACAGCTTCTTTCAGGCATACCTTCCCTACAGAAGCTGTCTCTGTTCCAGGATGTGATTGCTGTGGGTGCGGCTTTTTGGCACGGATGGAGTCGGTCTGTTCCCAGCCTTGTGGAGCTCGAGGAGTCCAGAGCGGAGGGGATAGGGCACAGCCTGTTGGTTATATTAAGGATCAGATTTTCTTTGCAAGCCTGCCACGTTTTAACTTTCCAAAAGATAACTGAAGGAAACTTCCACACAGCATTTGGGGCAGTGGAGGTCTGTGACATGTAGGACACGTAGGATATTTACCACTAGCATTTTCAAAATGGAAAAAGCCTTGACTTTAATGTTTCTCGTCTACAATCTATTCACAGAAGGAGGCAGTTTCTGCCCTAGCCTGGTACGTAATAAGTTTTACCACTCTGCATTCTTCCCTGGGAATTTTTCTTTTGCTATTTTAATGGACCCACATGAGTTGAGAGGAACTTTTCAGTAGACAATAGCTTTACCCTACTATCCTAGTTCATCTGTGCCATCTGATAAGCTTTCCTCTTTCTGCTTCTACTGATGGAAATGGAGAAGGACTACCTCTGATCTGTGCTATTGAAAGTCGGCACAACTGCCCAAGACTCCAAGAGTCCTCCTTTATTCTTCCTTCTGCAGATACAGTGAGCCTCTTTGCATCTTCAAACTCACTGCCACTTTTGCTGAGGCAAAAGAGACAACATTCCTTGTTCTTCTACTGGTACACACTATCTCCATTCTATCACCTATTTTCTCCATGCATCTTCAATGCTTAAAACTTAGTATTCTTACTTCTCTTTTTTTAAAACTCTGAAAGCTAATGGGAGACAGCTAAATTAGGAAAGGCTTCTGCTGTAAGTCTTTACAGTACCATAAGTTCACATCTTCAGTACTGTGTTCTGCATTGGGCTCCTCACTACAAGAAAGAAATTGAGGCGCTGGAGTGTGTCCAGCAAAAGGCAGCTAAGGTGGTGAGGGAGTGGAGCACAAGTCTTTTGGGGAATGGCTGAGGGAACTGGGATGGTTCAGTGTGGAGAAGACGAGGCTCATAGGAGACCTTATTGTCCTCTACGACTGCCTGAAGTCGCAACAAAGCGCAGCGACAGAAGATGCTGAGGGTTTGGGGAAGAATTCCTTCAGAATTGGACGCATTCTTCCTTCAGCAGTGCTAAGCAGCTGGGAGGTCACAGCTGTAATTCTGGCAAAAGTCAGGGCAGGCGAGGATGCGGCACAGCCCTGATCCTGCAGCCATCTGGGGAGCGGCTTTGCTTTGCTCTCATGAGAGTGATTTACAGGCATCAGACAAGCCACATATGTAAGGCTGAGCACACACATAAATGTTCTCAGAAGCAGAGCCAATTAACACACCACAGATATCATTCAGTGATTTGGAAGATATACAACCCATCTTACGTTTTGAAGCACAAGAATTCATTGCAGTGTCTGATGTTGTGTCTTCACAGAAATGTCTCTCATCAACTTACTGCTTACTGGTCCTGCAAAAGCAATGTCAAGCTGAAACAGCACCTACTTCACACAGAAGCTTGATCCAAGGAAAGCAACATCTTGGATATGCGACACCACCCCTGCAGTGCTTTACCCTCTCTGAAAAGATTACCATCATCTTTACTATTTATATATAATAAAGGCCAGAAGCCTCAGCTGGGATGGAGATCTCCCTCTGCTGAACATCAAGGGAGATACTCTTCTTCTCCAAGCAGCTCCAAAAAGTGACTGAGGGCCTGGGAGCAGGTCAGTGGCAGTCAGGATTAGGATTCCTGACTCCCTGCCTAGTGTCCTAATATTATCTTGCATTGTCTCCCAGACTGTCTTGTAACTCTTTCACATGAACCACAGGCCTGAATTAGCATGTCTCACTGCATAATCTGCCAGATCGCCTCGCGCACTAAATTAACCAGGGGCTGAGCAAACATCATGGGGACAGCTCTTGTATATTGTATGTGGGCTAAGTTTCTTCCTGCAGTGTTGTTTGCTCTGTATTTTCCTAGCATCATCATGAAAGTATGACAAGCTGAGGGGCTGGCTGTATGCTCCCTCCTGCTCCAGTCTCACATTTTCTGCAGCCCTGGAGATTAAGCCTGGCTTGGCAGCAACGCTAACAAACCAACTCCAGCTGGGTGTCAGATGAGATAGTGAGCAGCAGCACAGGGGCTTGGATGAGCAGCAAGCAGCTTGTCCTCATGGCACACGCTGGCATCCTTCATGTGATATTTACAAGCTCCCTCCCTTGTTCCACAGCCAGTGTGAGAGTGGGCTTTCCTCTGCCACATGGGCATCTTATCTTATGGCATCTCAATGCAAGCTTCAACCTCCTCTTGTAGAGAAAACCTAGCTTCCCACTGCCAGTAAGATTTGAATGACCAGATATGGGGGAAATGGTGCAAAGCCCACAAAGTTCTCACTGTTCTCCTCCACAAGTGAGGACATGCAGGCTCAGAACATGAGCAGGGCTGGACCATGAGGAGAGGATGGAATGTTCAAGATGGTCCACATAGTCCTCTGGACTCTGCCTTGTACAGCTGCTAAGCCATGGGACTGGAAGACATATGGGGCCTTGGGCAGAAGCAGAATGACAAGTGACTCGCTGAACACCATCACTTCCTGGCAGCAGGATCAGTACAGTCAGCTGTGACATCTGAGTCACATCCCCGGGAGGCTCCAAGAGGAAGCAGCTCCACCTTCCTGCTCTGCCCAGCCCAGATCCAGGCACCCACAGCACTGCCCTGCCCTCAGCTTATTGCCAGACTTGACATGGAAGAAATTTGAGTGCTGTCTCCATCAGGCAACAGGAACAGCTCAGCTCCAAGTGCTCAGCCCTCAGCATGAGATCTCAGAGGCTTTCCACAATCCAAGGCTGCTCAAAGCCTCACACAAGAAACACATCTATATAGCACCACAAGGGTGATGAAGACTGCCTGCCATACATCTATGTATGCCAATAGTCACATCTCAGCACTGTTAGGCTCATTTCTTTTTTTACTGCCGTAGAAGTCTTAACACTTCTGACTTGCATCAAGTGAGCTTTTATTTGAAGATCTGGATCCATGGAAACAGAACTACATCACAGAGCAGCAAGTGGTTCACTCAAGAGAGAACCAGAACCGGGAGAAAGCCCATTGGAAATAACCTTGCACGAGATGTTGGTGCCTGCCCTTATCAGATGTTGCTCCTCTATTGCTCTTTGTAGACAACATGCAAAGCAAGAAATTGTCCTTGTACTTTTAACATGCTGGTTATAAAGCTGGTTCTAAAGTACATGGCTCTGTTTTCCATCTCCTCTATGTGTCGCCAGGCCCTATGTACAACTCTACTGGCTGGAGATGAGTCATATTCATCCTCCACAATATGACAGGAATTAGACTCAAGGCAGAGTGGAAGGTTTGCTTTGGACAAGGTCCAACTTCAGCATGTCGATAACTTCGGAAAACACATTGCTCTCCAACAAGCAAGTTTCAGCTCCTAGATGATTCAGCAGCAGCTCTACAAGGAAATATGGATGTGAGAAGTCCCCCTAGGAATTCCCACAAAATTCTTCATTAAAATAAAATGCCTTGGGCCCAGCAATTGGATGGAAACTGGGAGATGAGAATTGTGCTTTCATGTCTGCAGAGACTCCTAAGTGCTGGGAAATTTTTAGTGGAGTTTCAGGGCAGGAGAGGAAAAAAATGTTATGGGTAAGAAGGCAGAAACCAGAGGGCTGAGCAGGAGAAGGAAGGAGTATGGAGCCCTGGGTTTGGTTCCAACCTCTTTGAATGGGCTGTAACTTTGTGGTCACTAAAAGCAGGAAAATATTGAGTGGGTAAGGGGAAAGTTGCAGTGAGAAACTTTTAAAAGCCACGTATGCATAAGGCAGCCTGAGAAATGGGAAGAGGCAAAGACAGCTCCAAAGCCCATCTGAGCACTTTGGGTTTTGGATGAGATCCACATCTACTTTAAAAAAAAAAGATAATAAAGGGAAATATAAAAAGTGCCAAAGAACTGCCTGACACAAATTAATTTCTGAAAGGGCATAGCAAGCCAAAGATGAAATATTCATCTCCTCATCCGTTCTGACCTCTTTCAATTCATTATCCTGATGTTAACTTCAGCACCACACTTAGCTTCTGCCTGCATACAAAGTCAGCAGAGACCAGCCAGCCCTTGCTCAAGATGTAAGGGTTTTTCTGAACACATTTCAACAGCAGACATGATGGAGGGAACTGAGAGCTATCAAACCACTGCAGCAGCATGAAGTTACTCTAATCAGCGTCTCTGGGCAAACTGCTTCATGCTTGGAAACGCATTCCAGGAGATGGCACAGCCCTGCTCCCCTCTTTCATCATTGCCTAAGAGAGCTGTGCCCAAGAGAGCTGTGGATAGCACCTTCTGAGCACTCTTGCAGAGAGCAACATCCTCTCACTGTGAAGTTCTCCAGCTCGTGCCCGGCAGAGCTCATGCTCACCTACACGCAGCCTTTGGAGAATCCATCATCAGTTCCATAAAGGTAACCCTTTTACATTTCCCTGTGTAGCACAGAGCTGCCCTTCATCCTCCAGGAGTCCCACCATGGCACTCAACTGCTTGGAACCCCCCACACTTCCAGGCTCTAATTGCTACTCAGAACTGACATTTCAAAGGATGCCACTTCATTCTCTCATTTGTGTAGAGCTTGCTTGTGTTTTTTGCTTACTGCTGCCTCTTCCCCAGAGCCCTCACTGGTGAATGCAGCTCACTGATGACCTCTCCATTATAAATAGTTTCATATTTTTAAATAAATACAGGCTGGTGCTATGGTTATGTGGATATTTCATCCAGCCTGCAGCACAAAGAGCTAGATCTGACAGAAGCAACCACCACTTTATTTGTCTTGCTGCTGCTTATTCATCAGAGAAAGCAAGGAGAAGGGGCCAGCACCCCCATCTAGCAGTGTACAGCAGTGGAAGTCTTATTTTAAATGCATCGCAAGAAGCAGCTTCTCATCACAGTGCAGCAGATGGAGGCAATAAGGAGAAAACTTTCTGGTTGTTATCCAGTTACTTGAGATCTACAGCACTGCAGAACTGTTAGCAAGCCACAGAGTGAATCAGAGGAAGGTGCATGGGGGCTGGGGGGAGTTCTTTTATATGGGTTTCCACTGCATTGCAACAGAATTAACACATTAGCTTGACATTTAGCCGATATAATTTATTCCTAATATGGGAGCAAAATGCATCCTGAGCAGTGGTATTAAAAATCAGAAGCCAAGCCAAACGTGACAATGAAGAAAGGGAAAGAGCCCACATTCAGGTCAGATTTTGCAATATGTTGGATTTTTCAGCCCAATAACTTTCGTTGTCCTGATTTCCCTTCCTTCCTTCTGTGTGTATGCAGAGGTACTACACAGATCACAGTGGACTTTATGCAGACATGTTTGTCCCTCACAGGCATCTTCCCATGCAGCAAAAGGCTCACAGGCTCACCCAAGCAGCACCCAGGATCTGTGCTTGCTCCCACATGGCACACTGCCAGTCCTGATGCTCCTCATCTTCCATTCCCAGCCTACAGCTTCAACAAAACATGGGGTGTGAGCAGGGCCCGCTGCCAGCCGAGTCATTTACAGCAATAAAACCCATCCCTGTGGACAAGGAGGAGCAGCAATAGCTGATACCAACTGTTCTTCAAATGTTCCCATCCCAAGAAGGGCGCTCCTGGGCTTAAAAAGCATCTCCCAGAGGTGAGAAACCCTAACCTTGCTGTCACACACCTCTGAGCAGTTAGGAATAGCAGGTACATGGGTGCACTCCCAGGGAGCCTGTGTAGGCATGGGAGCAGCAGAAAGATCTGCTACCTCCAGACTCACAGCAAACAGATGCATAGCAAAAAGTCTCTCAACCAATTTGCTTTGCAGAGAGCAACGCAAAACCTGCCTCAGCCTGAGAGCTCAGCTCAGGACAGCAGAGGTATAATTACATAATTGCCAGTAAATCGCGTTATTTATTAAAGTGCTTTGCATAGTACAGCAGCCTCCAGAGGAGGCAATCCCTGCTGTGGGCAGGTCCCCCCACGCCACCCTGCTTGTCAGACCAGCTCCTGGGGAAGTGGCAGGTGCCCACAGCCCCCATACTGCCCTCTCCTCTGCTTTCTGATGGCCAAGCACTCATGTTAGTCTCGGATCACTGAGTGCCTGAATGGTGATTCTGTTATGTAAGATGTGCACGCACGTACACATGTGTACATACACACAGAGCCCTGTGGAGTTAACCTGCCATGCAAGACAGGGTGGGAATAAGTGCTGGGTTATTAACCTCTGAGAAAAAATAGCTGAGAGCATTGGCTAAGAAAGGGACAAGAGCTATAAACTATTTTCCCCACAGTTCCTGAACTGCAGTTCACAAGACATTATGTTCCTAATTAAAAAACCAGGAAGTTTTAATGTCAGAAGTGGCTTTTGAGACAAAGCATAGGTCTTCCTGTTCATTAAAATCTTCACTGCATATAATTTCTTTGCCTTTAACTGTGAGCTTTAAGGTTCTTCCACAGTTAAGTCGATAATCGGCACAGATCTCTCCCCATCACACAGCTCTTGCAGCGCTGCTGGTTGGCTGCACTGTGGGTGGATGCTGCTTTCCCTCAAGTCCCTTTGGGACCACAGCTGTGAGTCCCCTCGCGCAGAGCACAACATGCTGGAAAGCTACATCCCAGCTCTGGGCAGCTCTTGGGCACCAGACAATTCTCCTCCACTCTGGAAGCTGTCCACCAGCCCGAGGAAAGCTCAGGGAAGATGCTCCCTAATATCATCTACACCACTTGTACTCAGCACTGCAGCTCAAGGCACACCTCATTTGAAAAGCAAAGACTTTCTCCGCGTTATTGCCTATTGAAAGAAAAGCAATAGGGTTCTTTACCCAGATTTATTCACTAAGGCTAAATAAGGCTTAACACCAAGATCACCTGCCTTCCAGTCATGCTTCACTGACAAACAACCCCCTTTCCATTTGTGTTTCAGATGCAAATTCATTAAGTCCAGTGTTTTCTGCATTTCTCACAAATGCAGACATAACTGCAATCTCAGATAAGGGAGGAAATGCTGAAGTGGCTTTTTTCCTTCATATCAAACACTTTTCCTCTGTGCCACAGCTGAGGGACCTAAGGACTCCTGTCCCACCCCAGGTGCTGCAGGGACAGAGTCCCCACTTCCCTCCAGAAACATGCCAGTACTAAAGAGGCTATGAGAAAGAAAGGGGTGGACTCTTCAGCTGGGTTTGTTGTGATAGGACAAATGGTTAAAAAAAAAAAAAAAGAAAAGAAAAAAGAAAAGGAGAGATTTAAATTGGGTATAAGGAAAAAGGGTTTCATAGGATAAAGGTGGTGAAACACTGGCATAAGCTGCCCAGAGAGGTGGTGGGTACCTTGACCCTGGAAATACCCAAGATCAGGCTGGACATGTTATGAGTCCCTGATGGGGCTCCATGTGTCCCTGTTCACTGCACAGGGGTTGTAGTAGACAACCTATGTGTCCTTTCTAACTCTATACCTGCTCTAGGTCACCACAAGCATAGCCAACATCCCAGAGGAGATGGGATACATCTATCATGTATGAACATACCACAGTAGCTTCCCTACATGCACAGGTGGTAACAAACCCATTTCTTCCTGAAGTTATGGAAGAAAAATAAGATGTAAAACCAAGTCATACTCAGTTTATGTACTTAATTCCCAGCATGCAAGGATAAGAGCACGCCTGTGGCCTATCCTACACTGCATCTGATTCTCATTAGGTGCAGTGATTCCTGCTCAGTAGGGTTTTATTACTCCCAGTGACACAACCCCATCCAGGCAGCTCCCTCCCTGTGCCTGCTCCGAGCAGATCCGTGTCAATGAAGCTTCCCAACTGAGCACACCGAGATCTGGAGGTACAGAGGGAATTCAGCTATTTGGGCACAAACCCTCAATCTTAAGGTGTCTTAATATTCCATTTTTCAATTAGTTAATTTGATTAAAGAAACTGATATTCTGGGATGGGAACAAAAACTGAGTTCTTACTTATGTTCATGGCCACCTTCAATTGAGGGGAAGTGTGTCATATAGAGTGCTTGGGGCATTTCACAAACATCCATCCTGATGGTAATCCTTATAAAATGCAGGTTTACCTTGCAGCAGAAATCCCTGCAGCAATCAGCAAGAGAATGATTTATTATATTCAAGGATTTTATATTTTTTTTTTACTGGCAAAGGAACAGGAGAGCTATGGATTTACCCTAAACCCAAAATTCTTTTGTTAACACTGAAAAGACTGAGGAAGTTACACAGAACAAAAACATTAGCTATCCATTGCTGAAGCAGCAATAAAACATACAAGTTTAAGCTGAAAAGAATAAATCAGGTTTTGGTCCACAAACTGAGATACCCTCACAGCCCCAGTTTCATGGTACTCTCCATGACCAGCCTCTGCCAAGAAAGAAGCAACCAAGAAACAAATGTTCCTTACCACTTTCCTGGCTCACAAGAGTAGAGGGGCCCTTCAGAACAACCACAGACACCTGAAGTCCGCAGCCTCACTGGGGCTGCACTAACTTCCAGGAGCAGCACCAGGGCTACCAACTTACTGCAGCAGAGCACCATGGTATCTCCTTCCTGCAGAGGGATCTGGAGATGCTGTGCTGCCTTTATACCCCCTTATCACAACTACCCTAGCACCTGGTGACAGCCATTAACTCAGAGTCAGAGGCAAAAGTGGTTTGGGAAGGGGTGAAGTGAGAAATAGAAGATATATTCAAATTCTGAGCAGTGAGGGTCTATGGAGGCAGGAAACATCCATGTGCCATGCGAGTGAAATGGCTAATGAATCAGCACAGCTCAGCAGCTGTGAGTGAGCCACGGGTCAGGGACTGTGGAAAAAGGCAGGCATGGAACTGATTAATTGAAGGTAGCTGTGATCTGTCTACCAAAAATTCAATCAAGCAATTAGTACTGGGCAAGGAAGTGTTTCTGCACTTGGAAGATTTGGAAATATTTCTTTATCTCAGGACAAATGAAATGTGAGCTGAAAAGGGGAAAAAAAATCAGCTGAAGCCTGGCCTGAATCTCTAGATTAGTTTGAAAAGCACCTTTTCCACTCTGGCCTTATTGTAATTACTTTATAATTATCTTACCTCTGAATACGAGAAAGATGACTCAGAGAGAATATCTGGAAAGCAATTTCATTTTAAACACTGAAAATATTTCAGGCTGTTAAATAAAGCTATATTGAAACCTGTCTTCTTAAAGTGAAAAAGACATTTTCAACAAGTCAGCGTTTGTTGTTTTTTTTTTCTTTGAGAAAAAGTCTTCCAGCTAAAAATCCTTGACCCCCTCAGTCACTGTCCATGGCACGTTACCAAGCTCCAAAGGCAACAGCTTTGGAGAAGAAGGTCATGTTTTCTTAGTTATCCTAAATGAGACACTCTGTCAAACAGCACTTATTAATTATCCAGACGTTGAAAGCAAAATACGGCCAAGGGAAGTGGGACAGGACGGTCACAGTCCACATCTCCTTCACCTCCTCAATCCACTGCTTTTCTTCTTTGTTTTAATTATTTTAGTTATCTTAAATGAGACATCAGTCAAAAACACAAGCATTTCTCCAAAGGGGAGACATAGGAGATAAGATTTCAGTTGACCCTTGAATTCATAATGGAGTGACTCAGTTTCCCATGACAAAAAGTTTAACTTGTTAGGCAGTAAGATTCCCGAGAAAGTCAGGAAAAGGCCAAAGCAGAACCTGCTACAACACTGCACAGACACAGCCCCCAGCACAGAGCAAAGCTTTTTGAAAAGTGCTCTGTGAACAGAGAGCCCCAAAATTGCATCCCAGCACACATACTGCTGCCAGAAGCCTTGGTTGATGATGGCAGGACAAGGAGGAGCCTGGGGCGTTCCTGGCTTCAGGAGAGGAGCAAGCAAATCAAGGTGCCCTCATGCCTAAGGGCTTCTTCTCTTCCTGTGGAGAAGAGACCTTTTGAACAGGGACCTGCAGGCTGTACAGCTCAGCCCAGCTCTGGTCCCAGCAGCCTGGTGGCACCTCCCCTGAGCAAAGGACACAACACAGAAATAGCAACATGTCTCAACAATTGGCACTGTGCTGGAAAGGTGACTTCAGTTTGCCCTTCGGCCCAGGGACAAAGGACTGGCAGTGTAATGATGGGAGCTGTTTGAGTCCTGCCTGGCAAGAGGGGAACTGGCAGAAGCACCACATGGCTTTTTTTGCAGCAAAGAAACAAGGTCAAGGATTCAGCTCATTCCATCTGTGGTATTTCTATGCTGTAATTTATTTAACAGTAGGAACAAGAGGCCCTATCAGAAATCAAGACCCTCATAGTCCAGGAGAAACAGGAGAGACCAAGACCTCAAAGCTGCTGTTCTCCAACTCCAGCTCCCCATTGAGGGCTTTGCCATCAGTGATGATGGACCTCCAGCCATCCTTACTCTGCAGAGAGCCCTCAGCAGCCACTAACAAAGCCATCACAGCTCTGCCTCCAGCATGGATGGACTTCACTGGGCACGGGGTAGGAGACAAGCAGGTGCAGAGGCACAACAGGGCAGCCCAAAGGATGGGAACCCAGATTCAGCTGTGGCTTCCTATTGGGCTGTTATTGTACAGGAACTTACTCCATTCTCCTTCGGCACCTTTGCACTTCACTGACAGTATCATTAAGTTAGCCTTGAGCCTTTTGGATGCTGTAAGCATCCTCCTGCATGAATTATGTCCTCAGTGAAAAAACAACTTCCACTCCCAGTTACATCGATATAAGCCTTCAAATGATGAATTCAGCTTTGCATCAATGCCTTTGACAGATACAGGCTGCTTGAGCCCAGCTTGGCTGTGACTCAGACATGGATTTCAGCAGTGCTGTGCTGCAAACACAGCTTTCCTTCCAGTCTTAACTCTGCTCAACCTCTGCTCGTTTGGGATAGTTGGGGCTGAAAGCACAAAGTGCACCTTCTCCATTTTTTCACTCCATCCCATCCTTGCAGCATTTAGGGGAGGATTCTGGTCTTCTCATTCACTCCATAGAATCATTAAGGCTGGAAAAGACCTCTAAGGTCATCAAGTCCAATCATCAACCCATCCCCACCATGCCCAGTAACCACATCCCTCAGTGCCACATCTCCATCAAGCCAGCGAGTTCCTACTGGAGATCCATCCATCTCTACCACACATAAAAATTGCACCCTGAATAGAAAAAATTTATTAAAGACAGAGTTGTTCACTGCAAGCATAGCTCAGGAAGATTTGGGGTTATGGTTTTCCTGGGCTCATTTATGAATTGTGGTCACTCCAACATGGTCCTTTGCTGTCACATGTCACTGCTGAGACATTTGATGTAGTCAGCTTGGTAAAGCCAAACTCCCTCTGAAATGAAAATGGCTTTTCCCCAGGCAACAAGGGTGTTCAATCGGCCCTAGAAGCTCAGGATATTGGTTATAGATAGTTAAATAAAAAAGAGGAAAAGAAGAAAGAAAAAAAAAAAAAAAGAAAAGAAAGAAATCTCCCTCTGGATTTAGTGTATAGTCATTAACAAGGTGTCCCATAGGTAGAACATGATTTATTGAAAACTAAAGAGAATGTCCTGGTTTTGCTAGAATGGAGGTTTTTGTTCTACTTGGGGTACTTTATATGAAACAGATGCACAGTCGATAAATCACGCTGTCCTGCAGTAAGGATAGACTGCATTTTCTGTATAAATTATCTTGCTCTCTGTAGGCAAAAGCTAGGGATGAATACAGGGGTACTCTCACATCCTAAAAATCATTGATTATTATTGTTGGAGAAAATAAATCCCTTGGCTAGTAGGATGTAGCTGTGGCAAGAACAGTCGATGCAAAACTCCTTACAGAAATCACTTCCAGAATAAGAATTTGATTAAAAGATGAAACAATGAGGATACTTGAAATTTATGACCAGCAGGACACGCTGCTTTCTCAAGTTTCCCTTAGAGTGTTTCAAATGGCTGCCTCCAAAAAAAGCAAGCCCATTCAAATACTTCTGCAAGCTGAAAACCTATTTACAATTTTTTTTTTCCTTTGGCAATGCCATTAATCAGTGCTCAGGCAGCTTACAGTGCGGAGATGTAGCAAGGAAAGCAGCAGGACCCGCCAGCCAAGAGAGGAATGGTCTTTGTTGGAGAGCTGCTAAAATATGTATACAGAAAGCCATAACGTGGGTGGCTTTATACAGAACTTAGAATGCAATAGGATATTGCAGTTTTTCAATAAAACTAGTGAGGAGCAGTGCCACGGGACAGGATTTCCTGGAGCTTACTGCTTACGAATGATAAATATGTAAAACACAAGGCAGAAGTTCACCAACCACTGTTCCTATGTGGCTGCATTTAAATGTGGTGTTTAAATGCGTTTCCTTGCTTCCCTTCCCACCACGTTCAGTGAATTGTTTGGAAACGGGGTGTTTTCTTGAAAATGCCCATGAGAACGGTGAGCGTGGATGGTGGCATGGCACAGAGCAAAGATCTGAATGGAGCCAAGCTGAGCCCTGCCTCTTCCCTTGCTTTTCTTCATTTGAACTGCATAAGCTGCAGATGAAAAATATATAAATAGGGATTCTATATATAGTCCCAGGATAAAACTGTAGTTCATTTATGACAGCTGACAAATCCAAAATGGGCAATGTAAGTGCATTACAAAATGATTAAACCTCAAGTTCTCTCCCCTCCGGCTAGAAGGGCGCATTAACATTACATTACCCGCTGAATAATGTAATCTGCTGCAGTTTTCTGCCAATTCAGAAATATAGCCAAAATAGCCCTTTCTTTTCTATTTACAGATGGAGTCTCAAAAGCCATCTTCCTTGCGGCAGATACAGCATCTACTCATTTAAGTTTGCTCAGATTCAATAAAATCCGAATCCTACTGAGTTAAAGTTGGATTGAAGCATATTCTTGGTTTTAAGCCATACAAATGGCACGCACGCCTAGGCTTAGGCCCCTGCTCAGGGGATTTCAGAGGTATCGGACTACATATCCCTGGAGTTGAGACTGAAATCAATACCTGGCACTTGTGAGGGATGTAATGGATTCAATCTGACCAAAGCTTTAATTGCGTTTTTCATTATGACACAGGCTTTTCTATGTCTTGTGTTTAGAAAGAGTGTTTCAGAGCACTATATGGAGGATCATCGAATATCCTCATCGATCAGTCTCCTGTTCAGGGTGCTGCTCTCTACATCAAGCAGTCAGATGGGTGGATGGAGACGGGGTGTCTCAGGTGTCCCCTTGGCCATCTTCCAAGCTGCAGAGTGCAGAGGTGAAGCAGTAATAATTTACTTCCAGATTTACAATCGTAGCTTGATTTTAAGATACACTGTCATTAGCTCTTTCCTAGTTGCAGTCTCATGGTGGCATGATACCTGTTGAAGGATGTGGGGAAAAAAACAAGTATGTTGGAGAAAAGGTTGTCTTACAGAGAAGTTTAGGCTTGTTGGTTTGTTTTCTCTGGAGTCTTAGATATGTTCAAGGGACAGCAAGCTGCTTCTTAAGAAGCAGATTCAGAGAGTCCAGAAAGGAGTAATGGTCCCTGTGGATTTTTACAGGGCTGCTTCTTCACCTCGTGGTTCAAACCCTACTTTATGGTACACATCACTTACTACACCGTGGTCCCCTTCAGCTCAAGATGATAGGTGATGAAAGCCATGCTGGAAATGGAGTAAATCTTATCTTTCATCTCCTGTGACCTTCAGGGTTTGGCCAGGACTTGCCCAGGGCACACATCTTATCCGGCTTCCCAGGGAAGGCACAGATCAGAAAGCCCTGGGGGAAACCCCCTGAAACAGCTTGTGCTCAGGTCACGTAAGCAGTACCTGTTTTTCCAGCAAATTCAAAGCCGTGGCTATAAAGAAAGCCAGCTATCAGCCTTCTTTTTCAGCAGCTTTATTGCAGATAGGAAAGAAATAACATCATCCCATTTACATATGGAGTCTATTTTTCCTAGGGAAAAACAACACACTTCTTTCAAAAAGTGCTGTTCTGTCAATACTGCTGCTGTTCACAAAGAGGAGCTATCTGACAATTCAAGCTGAAATTGGCATCTTACTAAGATCTCAGTATCAAGACCTGAATGAAACTGAGCTGGGAATGCTTGCCATATTACACTTCCACTCAAAGTCTTACAACAGCTGGTTTTATCTTCACAGCACTGATCCCTGCTCCATCCAGGAGGTGTGAGAGCTCCTTCCATGGCACACAACAAAGGGAGAACAGAGAGATTTCTATCCATGGTATTGTTTCCTTGAGAGCTGCATGCACTGCACAGCGTTCATCCACAAGGATGCTGATCCCAACATAATTTGCCCATCCTGCCCTTTGGCTGCAGTTCCAGATGTTTGCAATACCACTCCTCCTAAATATGACTCTTAGAAATGATTTGTAGTAAATCTTCCAGGACAAAATAAGCACTGTTAGTTATGGAAGTCCTTTAATCTGGCTGCACTGATGGACACCAGGAAAACTGCCCTTAAATTCTGCTCTGCTTGGGAAAGCAGGACAGACAGCCTGCTGCAGTCATGTTAATGAAATTTAAAGTGGAGAAACTTAAGGAATAGGTGTGTGGATGTGAGAAAGAGTAAATTGTCAGAATCTGGAGCATATTGGAAGACAAGAATGTGTGGGTAGCTTCTCCTGCATGAAGAATTGCATTGAAGTGCATGGTAAGCCAGCTAATAAACCTCCTGGTAGCAGAGATCACTTACTTCCCCATTGCAACAGATTGAAAGAATTGAGGACAATCTGAATTTTCCTTCATTTCCTTCAAAGAGTAATAGGAAAGCTAATTTGGCTGGTTATTTCTGATAACCCCGTAGTTATTACCTATAACCCAGTGCTCCATCCCTCCTGTGTCCATGAAAGCTGTCCCTGGATGGGTGCCCATTACAGACCCCCCAGGCTAACATGGTTCCAATTGCCCAGAACCACTCACCCTGCTGAGCCTGGCCATGCGGTGCTGGCCCCATGCAGCCCAGATGCACCTGAGAG